ACAAAGTGTGGGGCACACACACAATCACACACACACAGTCAACTACGTGACAACATTTTGCAACGCTGTTACACAGCACAAAACGCATAATAAATGGCGGCGCGTAGTAGCGTAGCTTGTGTGTCGTGCGTTTTGTGTAGTTCTGTCCAGCGGACATTCTTCGTTAAGAATTTTCACTATTTTGCATTTTGGCATGTAAAAATAGTCGATGTGTTGTCTGGAATTGTCGGTTCCTGTTTTGTTTTTTCCCTTTGCTGTTTACGAAAAACAATTCGGTAGAGCTGAATGTTGTGTTACAAGCTCCTGCGAGGTTTCCCAGATAAATCGCTGACATCAGGTCCACAAATTAACTTCCCGGTTAAGTTTTGATTAATTTCTCATTTTCAGGATGACCGTTTCGCTTGTTGTTATAATGTTCGAACTAACAGGAAGTCTCGAATTTATTGTTCCAACAATGGTTGCAACGATGTTCGCAAAGTGGATTGGCGATGCAATTTACAAAATGGTAATCACCATGAGTCCTCTCCTGCAGGAATGCAGTTGCTTAACGTACTGCACTGGGCATATGAAGTATACGATCAGACAAAACTCAAAATCCCCGTCATATTTGACTATTTTTGAAGCAAGAAATCTTTCGAATTAATCCGAATAGTATCATTTCGTTAAAAAAACATCTAACGAAAAGGATTTTTATGTCATTTTCTTCTCACAGTTTTTTAAAATAAGTTTAAAGTGGCATTGGCCCCCTTGATGCACGCCAGTTCTGTCTCATAGTGGACATAAGAGCAGTGCTTATATCATTTTGTTTTCATTATTTTTGCACGGGGAATTGCTCTTTCAGGGCATTTATGATGCTCATATCGATCTGAACGGTTATCCGTTTTTGGACAATAAGGGCGAATATCCATATTCAACTGTTGCCATACAAGTAATGAAGCCTGGGCCAGGTTCGCTTTCCCAGTATTTATGCAATCTTATAAAAGGGCATAATGTATGACTTCTGACAAAAAAACGGTACCATCCACAGTTTTTAGCACAAAGGAAGTCAAAAATGTCCCGCATCTTTTTATGCGTTTTTGCCGTGCAGCGCTAGAGCGCTGCAACAGGCAGCAAAAACCCATATTGCAAC